TTTCTGAAAGTTTTTCAGCAAAAACTTTTGACTTAAGCCTTTCACGAACTTTCTTTTACCGGAATCGTGTTTCTCTCGTCAAGACGCATTGAATAAACTATTATGTGACCTTGAAAGGTTAACTTAAAAACTTGACCTCAGTTCAAGGTCATGACCTGACCGATAAGGGTCAGGTTGCATATCAGTTGATCCGTTCGTCGAGATGAACACAACGAAGGTGTTTTCATCGTTCTATGCCTCTATCAAAATTTATTCGCGAAAAACTGTCAGATACCATTCGTGACCTGAGATGTCATCAGGGGCATAAAACGGGGTCACGGGTGCCATTTTCATGTTAAGTGTGGTTGCACTAATTGCTTATATGCCTGCTTTACCATATTATCAGAGAGTATCATCGATGAAAACACTGAAATAAATTCATAAAATACGGATATTTGCTGTACAAGAGATTAGGTGCAGATTTGGTCAAATTAGGTACACTCGCGGGGTAGCCCGTCGTGAAAACGGCCAATATGACTTACGTCCAAAAGAGGTGCCTTTCGATTGTCTCCAATTTACTTACCTTTAACTGAGAGGTCGCAAAATTCACCTGACCTTAGGCCATCGACATCAAAATGCTAAGATATACATTTTGTACAAACTGTTGCTCTTATCAATCGCTGCAAGTTTCAAAGCAATCGGTCACTTAGGTGTAGCTATGGTAGGCTTTATAACTTTTTAAGTAGTGAGGTCACTTGGGTTGACCTGGCGACCTGACTTTAGGTGACCCGGAGAGCCGCCGTTTTTTTAGATATTCGCGAAAATCCACAGAAGGGGTGTTCAAACACCCTCCCCCTCCCCCAGCAAGACGTGGGTTAAAATTGCGAGAGGCATACTGTACCAAATTAAAGTTTGCAGTTCGTGGCCTTGATTTCTGAAGGTAAATTTTTCCGTCGCAGACGATGCGATCGACCATCTTCTCTGCACCGTGCTAAAGAGCACCAAGTTGTGTTCACATCGGCGCCGCAGCCACGGCCTCATGTGGCGGACGACTTCCACGCCATAGAGGGCGTGCCAGCAGTGCAGTTTAAGGAGCTAACGGCAAAGGTGAACAAGCTGCTGACGTGGGGGGCCGCGTTCACAGTGTTTGCGCAGTCGTTCAACCGCCCAGCCATCCGTCTGGCCGGCTACCTGATGTGTGCCGTGATCCTGAAGACCGATGTGTCGCCGCCCCCAAAGCAGTGGGCGGCGATGACCGGCTGCGTTTAGGAGTGCACGGGGAGGGACATGAGGCAGCACTTTAGGGACTTTCTGTCTCTTTTTGTGTTTGTGTTTCTGCCAGGTAGTTTTGCAAAGAAATGGCGTTAACGCTTTTTCATGCGTGTAGGTCAAGTTCATGTCTGGAAGGGCATGAGCGTCGTGCTGTGTTCATCGCCCTTGTTCATATGATCAATGATGTAATAGTCGTGGTTTATCTGCATGCTATGCATTGTTTTAATAAACCTTATGTTTTAATGTTATGACTCTCATCTCATGGGTGAGGCTGACCGCCAGGGGATGAGTCGACAGAGTGGAAAAACCGGCGGCAGAGCGATCTAATAGGTGTGTTCACTTGACCATCATGTTATGAGTTACATTTAACTCGCGTATCAATCGTTGCATGACATGAGTTACTAGCGATGCTTGAATTCGTCACAAACGGTAAACTCATGTGGTATGAGTGAGGGAACGAGAGTTAACCCGCAACTCATTGGTGATGTGACCGCTACAGGGCTAGTAACATTTACTAGCGCCTCATGTAGTCAAACGTGTGGTGTCTTCATTAACGGTGTAATATGAGTAAGCCTATACTCGCATATCATGAGTAATCAAAATGAGTTACCAAGAGTATATGAGTTTTTCACAATCGGTTAACTCATAATACACGAGTGAAGAGACATGAGTTAACGCACAATTGCGAGGTGGAATGACCGGTGCAGGCCTAGTTACATTACCGGCGCCTCGAGCAGTCAAATAGGTTGTTTAAAATTACCGCCGGTTCATGAGTTTACTCATCACCCATGGGTAATTTTGTTTTCAGTGGCTGTATGTATACCATCTGTAAACCCATAGACCCATAGACCCATAGACCACAGACGGTATACAGAGGTCTATGTGAGACCGAATAAAGGACTAAGAGGGAAGCGCAAACGGCTTTGGATTAGAGGGACGTGCTCATGGAGCTGACCGATGAATGGGTCAGAGAGAACGACCAGACGACCAGCGCACTGACAGACCGGCATACCTACAGACGGACAGTCCGTCGGTCGGTCGCCGTCCGTAACCGGTTTGGCCGCGTCCACCGGCCCAGCTCCGGCGTGTGGAGACATATAAGGAGGCGGCTCGGCGGCCGGTACCCGTCTTCCGGGAGCCGCGGCGCCACGCGACGGCCGACGGCCAGTACTGTCCTTCCTGGCGCGGGTCGGACGGTAAGGGTGGCATTGACATCCTGCACAGTACTGTCCGGACCTGGACCCGCTGTCCGGCCAGGGCTCAGGCTGTCCGGTCAAGTACAGCTTGTCCGATCGGACGCTGACTGTCCAGTCAGATGCATGTTGTCCGGTCTGGCATTGGCTGTCCGGCACAGTATGAACACCGGCTGCCCTGTCCGCCCGAGGTCATTCTTCAGCTGTAGTTCAATGATTTGATGCAATGTTTATGCTCCATAGTTAGATATGTGTGGATAATAGAATATGGCTAATGTTCTGAGGTGTAATAATTGGCGACAGTTTCGTTGGCATGGCTGGTATTACCCGAAAACACCAAGCGCCTGCGCATGCCTCCAAGTCATCGATTGTCTGCAGAGCCACCACGCACACATAGTAAGGCTTCTTAGTGACAAGTGTTGTAAAGCAGAGCCGACAGCCGTTGTCCTGGACTTTGCACCGACGCGTCCGTTGTCCTTTTTTTCGGCTAGCGGCGGCGGTTCTGATGCGCAGTCATTGTGGTCGCATGCACCGTGCAGGCGATGTAGGTAAGCCCCTTAGAAGTACCTATACGATGCCGAAAACTCATTCATAATACGATTACCTATTTAATAAGATATAAATGGATTATACCTACTCGGAAATAATCCACTTACTGGTTCACATTCGGACACAGACTCTGCCGTTGTGTCAATGAAACGTTTCAACGGAATAGCCGCTCATCGACGGCTAAAAGCAGGTTTTCTTCCGCAGACCATGAGTAGTAGGCTGTCCCGCCGGGCAGGTCTACCCTCCGGCACAGTATTCCATATCTAAACTGAAACAGCGCACGGGACTGTGCGCAGCACTCATAAAAATGATAAAAGGAATGTTGTATGGAATACGTGTTGGGATCTGCTCAGTGCTCATGAAACCTTCCTAAATACGTGTTTTGAACGTCTTCAACAGTACCCAGTTGTGTATATTTATTACCATTGATTGACAACGGATCATGAATCGATAATATTCGGATCGCCTCACTGCCGTCACGGCACCAGTGGCGACGCCGACCAATGAGCCCTGCTGCATGCATAAAACTGGTTTCTGTGTCAGCAGCCACGTCACCGGCCGCATGCGGTCAGGTCACGACGAGCTTCCTTATGGATGTATCGTTCCTACCAAATCAAACGTCTCCCTGGAACTTCGAGCACCGTCAGACGCCGCAGAAGGAAGGTCGACCCTCCCGCCTCACAACCTTCAAAAGCGGCGGCGGTAGCGCCTGGCGGTGGGAGCGAAAAGTCTGGATCGTAATATCGACTGCCGCCTCTCGCGGTCGCGGGGCTCGGCGCTCCCAGCCCTCTACCAGGTCGTACCCAGCGCAGAGCGCCGTGTCTCCTCTGCGCCGGGATCAGCTCACGTGCCACTGAGAGCCGTCTGTCTGCATGGGGTCGGTGCCGTCCAGCAGGGATCAGGGTCCCGTGGTGCGGTGCAGAGGTCAGGGCCTGCCGTCGACTCCGTCCTGCGCCGGTGACCGATCTGCCGGCTTTTGTCGCCACCGCGCCGCACAGAGCGTTGTCGACGGTGATCGGAGCTGTACTGAGCTCTGACGGGGCGACAGGGGAGGGGAGGGGAGGGGCTGGACCTCCGCCGGACCATGTATGGATACATATCCTGATTCTTTGTGTTTTGGAGACGTGAGGAGAATGCTGGACGATTAGAGGCCCCACAGGGGTCAACGTTCATATGACACTCCTGGTAATAACGATTACGATCCGCTGCGAATAATTGTGGGCGGCATGTTCTTATCTCAGTCGCTAATTGTCAAAGCACTGGCCTGGCCTCCGCAATCTAAGCTGTCCAGTGTCCACTGTACGAGCGATCAGTTAAATACCCTCAAACTGGAGTCTGAATCACGTTGACTGAACGGGACATGCGCATCCCCACCACATACGGCCGCGCCGGCCTGCCCCCCCCCCCCACCCCCGGCGCTACCCCTCGTGGCTCGTCATTTTTGCTGGGATACCTCAGTGTCAGTCGTCAGCCCGCTCTCCGATCAGCATATTGGGCTGCGCTGGCGCCGACAGTGCGCAAGAAGCGACTGCTTTAGGGATTCTTTGTCGACCCCGGCGCCGCCCAAGCATGGAGGCGGTGCGTGGCATCGGGTCTTTCATGGTCAAGCTGTGACGGTGGTGATGTGGTGACGTTAGTGAAAGTGGCATGTGCTGTTGGTGACGATGGTGATTGGTGACATGCAGTGATGCGTGAGATGTGGCGAGACATCAGCTGATGAGAGGGCATGCCCACAGCCCAGAGACAATACGAATCACCAGTTCCTGCTAACTATGGTTCGTGGGTTTTTGTTGTCATGGTGCGCCATGATCGGTGAACGCCTCCCGGGACAGAGATTGGGTGACTGTCGCCTCCGACGGGACCTCCCCGCTCCAGCCCTGGTCAGCTGATCTGTGTATCCGGCGAGTAGGTATTCTCCGCCCGCTGTACCGTCTACTATACGTGGTACCATATCGCGGGCATAGCACTTGTGCACATCGTAACGCGATAAAGCAACACGCGGCTAGCCTCATTATGCGAGTTTATTTATGTAAAAAAGCTAATCTCACGATGCTCCGCATGGTAAAACCTTGGTTGACTCGGTGGACATAATGCGTGTAAAAAAAACGGAACTGGCGATTCATAAAAATATACAAAAACATGCAGTAGCAGCTCTCTAACAGCACAATTTATACAGCAACCATCTCTTCGGAGATACTCTCCTGGCCCGTAAGCTCAATCCAGTCTCCCAATTATACCATTATCTGTCAAACAGCCCTAACAGATGTCAGCAGCACAGTCGGAGCCTCGAACGGCGACGCACCAGCAGGCACAGGCGCCCGGAGACGGGGCCCGCGAGATCAATTCAACCCAGTACAAAACTGACAACGCACCAAAACCCTGCCTGTGAAGCCCTTTCACTGGAGTCGCCAAAAATGCCAGCGCGGTAGCAACAAAATTGAGTGAAATGCCCCGGTGACGTAAAACAAAAAATGTCACGACTTCCATAAATCTCGTTCATCAGGAATACAAGAGTAAAAAGCAGTAATAAATAGAAACGCGCCAGCCCGCCAAATCCTCACGCAAAATATACAGCCAAAATATACAGCCGGTACGCATTAGATAAAAACGTCGTTGACAAGACTTCCGCAAATCAAGGAGATTCAAAGCTCACAACCCGCTCGTACAGAGCACATTCTCAACTGACATTGACTTAAAGCAGTTACAAATTCCCCAATTACAGCAACACCCCGCGGTACGTTCAGACTCCAGAACACTCATCATCTTTCATCACGTTTCTCCAGGCTCCAGCCCTTGATATCACCCGGGGCTCAGACGGCTCCTCGCCGTAGGAAAGTCGGGGGCCCAGCAGCGCCCACCGTTTGCGCGTACTGCGGGGTACCCCACCACACGACCGTCCGGCGGTCCGCGGAGTCACAGTCGGAGGGTCGCCGGGCACGGTATGGAGGCAGCGCGGTCCGCGGCGGCCCCACCCGCCGGAGAAGACACCGTGACGGTACTGCAAGGCACGCAGAGTACTGCAGAGTGAGTACCGCGGGTACCGCCGGATTCCAACGAAGTACCGCGCCGTACCACACCCAGCAGGACAGAGTCTAACAAACAGCGTCCGCGACAGGCGCTACGACTTGGTCGCCGGCCTGGCGCCGCCCGGCCGCGACGACGCCGAGTTTTTGGCTGCGGCTGCGCTGACTTTGGCCGCGGCGGCGGCGGCGCGGGCTGCCGAGGCCTTGGTGGGCGCCGGGCCCACCCTGGCCGCTGCGCCCTCCTTCCCTCCCGTCTTCCCCGCGCTGGGGGGAGATTTGGCCGCCGCCGCCGCCGCCGAGCCCGTCTTCCCACCCGTCTTTTCTGCGGAGTCTCCGGCTGGACCGGCCGGCCGGCCTCCCAGTGCTGTCTTTTTCCCTGCAGCGCCACCGGCTGCCTTCGTCCCGGCCGCGCCGCCCGCCGCCGCCTTTCCGGCCTTCTTTGCCGCCGCCGTGCCGGTTTTCTTGGCCGTTGTGCCGGTCTTGGCGCCCGGCGCGCCGTCACTGCGCTCCGAGGACGGAGAGTTGACGTTGGAACGCGAGGACGTTGTGGAGGACATGGACTGCTGGGAGGACGCGGCAGACAGCGAGCCGGGACGGGAGGACGACGACGGAGCGGCGGCCCTCTTCGAGGACTGGCCGGCTGGTTTGGAGAACTGCGAGGATGGGGTCTGTTTGGAGGTTAGTGCCGATGAAGCAGGCTGCTTTGAGGACGTAGCAGAAGCGGGTTTCTTTGGTGCTGATGAGGAAGACGCGGCAGACTTTGCAGACGTCGTTGATTTCACAGAGCGGACGGAGGCTGGCGACTCGTTGCTAGCTTTCTGTGAGCCACCGGTCTGCTTGGCGGGCTGGGACTGCTTGGCAGAGCTGCCGATAGTAGTACCGCCGCTGACGGCTGGTGCCGGGGCGGTAGAGGCGGTGGTAGAGAGGGCGGTAGAGTCGGTAGAGGCGGTGGAAGAGAGGGAAACAGAAGCGGTGGTAGCAGTGGAAGCACTAGTAGAGGCAGCGGCCGACCGGGGCGTCGGTTTGGCGTACTCGGGGATTATTTTGTCGGGTTCTGTCGCGGGCCGCTGCTGGCTGGCCGGCGCTACGGTCGCCGTCGGTTTCTGAGCAGAGACGCTGGCCGACAGGGGACGGGAGAATGTCGGCGCCAGCGGGCTCGACGATGGGCTCGGGTTCGCGGTGAATTTAGCCGCCCACGGGAGCGGCCGCCGCGACTGGTAGCCAGTCGGACCGCTGCCGCCGACCGCCGTCGGATCCGCCGCTGAGGGCTGCGTCTCGGCAGTGCGATTGGGCTTCTGCTCCACCACCGGTCTCTCCTCGACGATCGGCAACCAGGCCTTATCGGTGCGGCCGGCTGCAGAGGAGACGCGACTCACGGTCGGCTGTCTGGAGCCCACCGACCGCCACGGAGCCGTGTTCTGATACAGACGCGTGCCGTCCTGCCCCACACCCGGCTCCAGCATGCTCCTCGGTCGCGGTCGCTCCTCGACGGGCGCTCCCTGTACCTCGTCAATGGTGCAGTACAGGTTATCCGTCGGCGTCACGCCGCCGACCGTGTCCATATTGCAGTCGTCATACAGCTCTGCGGCGTTGGGCGGCCGCGGCGGCGGCTCGCTGGGCCGCACCAGCAGACTGGCCGGCCGCAGCGGCCGTCCCACGTCCGAGCTGGTCCTCACTGGGGGCCGCTGACCTCGCCGGCCGCCCGGGGACGTCGGCAGCGTGCTGAACTGGCCGATCGGCTGCGGGATCGGGTTGGAGATGCCCAGACTGCGCACCTTGTCCCGGTCCAGTTTGGCCGCCTTAAAGCTCTGGCTGGGACGGAGGGACGACTCGGCGGCGGCGGGGGGAGAGTCCGGGGCCTTATCACCCCGCCGGAACACGCTGGCCACACGGGAGAGGGTGGAGGAACGCGACCCGGCTCCGCCGGAGGACGAGCCGTCCCGCTCCAGGGTCGAGCCGCGCTCCGACTCCAGGGTTGAAGAGCGGCTGTCCGGGCCGGACGGTCGCGGGCTGGCCGGCGCCGAGTCGGTGCGGCTCACTGGAGCGAACCGCACCTGGGGCACGGCCGGCGGCGCCGGCGCGGCCGGCACCGACTCCGAGCGCTGCACCAGGGGGATCCGCTCGGCGGCCGCCGTCGGCTTCTCCTGCGAGACCGGCTTCTCGTCCCGCCAGAAACCGCTCTCCAGCAGTGAGCGGATATTTGGCATCCGGGAGCCCGAGTCTGCTGCCTTTCCCATATTCGTCGCCGCTGCCTTCTGTCCTGGCGCCGGCGAGGGTTCCGGAATATTAGCGTACTTTCTATCCATTCCGCCGTTCACCGGCTTGGTGTCAGTCCCCGCCGTCGCCTTGGTATTGGGAACGTTGGCGTACCTCTGCGCCAGCGGCTGGGCCGGCGCCGGCGGCTCGCCCGCACCGGCCGCCGGTTTGTCCTGCAGTCGGCCCGCGGCAGCCTTCACCTGTCCGGTGACGGCGCGGGTCGGCGGCGGGCCGGTCGGCCGCGGCGGACCGGCCGCTCCGCGCGACAGGAAGGCGGCACGCGCATCGGTGGTGGACTGGGGGCCGGCCGCCGGCCCCGACCAGCCGCCGGCCGTCACAGAGGGGCCTGCCGCCCGGACCTCCGCCGCCTTACCGCCGTCCGGCCGGCACATCCCGAACGTGGTCCGACTGCCGGAGCCGGCGGCCCGGACCGAGTTCACGTCCGCTTTGGTCTGTTGTTTGTCGACCATTCCGAACGTGGTTCGCGGCTGCTGTGAGGACTTCAGCGCGTCGGCCACCACTTTCTGAATGCCAGAGCCGCTGCCGGTCGTCTGGCGGCTAGGGCTGGTGGTCGAGGCGCCAGAGCGCTGTGCAGCTGAGGGCTTAGTGCTTGGCTCCACCTTGCAGACCTGCTTGTCGGTATGTTTCTCCGCCCCCTGCGCAGCTGCTCCCGGCCGATTCAGGAGGCTCCCCCGTCCCGATGTGTTAGCGCCCCGACCACTGTTTGAGGAGGCGGGGACGCTGGCGGGCGGCGGCGGCCGGGCCGGCGCGCCCCCGGTGTCCGGCTGCAGGTCCTCGCCCTCCTCCCTCAGCATCATCAACGGCACCCGCACGGGGGCCATCTGCTCAGGCGGGCCGTCGGTGGCGGTAGCGGCCCGGCGCACCGAGCGAGCCTCGCCGCCGCCGCCGCCACCACCTGCGGCTCTGCCACCGGCGGTCGGCAGCTTCCTGGAAATAGCAGCGCCGCGTCAGAGGGATGGGTTATAGAGTCACTGACTGACAAACTACCAGAGACGGCCGTCCTCGCACCGAACAAAGATTAACTGGTCAAAGAGCGTCAACTCGCCGGGGACACACTGGCGGCAGCCCGCTAGCGTCGACGGTCAGTTCGGTTTTGCCGCCGTTTTTGCTCCCTCCCGGCACGGCTGGATTAAGCGTTATCTCAGACAGCCGCGTCCCCAGCCGGCGTTTTTGGTAGGCTAAAACCACCTGCCCCGTTCTCCACACTTCCGAACAGCGCTACCCGCCGCCCAACATCCGCCCACGTCCTTTTTACCGCCTAGCTCACAACCAAATCTGCACCACCGCAAAACCGTCCTCCGTATTCCCTTATACATACAGCCACGTACCGTCTCAGAGCTGTCAGACCGGGCAGGGTTGGACAGCTAGGCAGCCGGATGCTGGCGCGGTTCGGCAGCTGACAGCTGGGCAACCGACAGCAGCCGGCGCAGCTGGGCAGCAGCTGCAGCGGCGACAGATCGCGGCGGCGGCAGCAGAAGTACGCAGCGATTGCCACAGCCAGCACCAGCAGCACGAAGATGCACAGAATAACGGTGGTGGTGTGGTCCACTGGGGAGAGAGGGGGAACGTCACAACGCGTCACGTCACCCCTACCCCAGTGACAGTTTCTCTGTATGTCTAGCCCGGCTCGGTACAGGCCCTCCCCCGCCCTACTCACCCGCGTCACTCTGTATATAGGGGCCACTGTCGACGCTGCCGCCGGTGCCCGGCTCGGTACAGTTGGGCGGCGCCCAGCCGGGCTGGCAGTGACAGTTGCCGCGGGAGTTGCAGACTCCGCGGCCGGAGCAGCCGTCCGGACACATACCCACCGTCACTGAGCTGACGGACACACACCGCTGGTCCACGCACATCTGAGGGAGCCGGGGGACGGGGTTAACAGGAACACACCGCCGGTCGCGCGCTGGTTTTATAACAGCTGTATAACTGAGAGATGTTCTGAGCCAGCCTACAAGGTGGCTCGAAACGTTCGGTGCAGACGTGAGGCCGTCGGCGGAAACGAGCTGCTACGCAGCTTCACACCAACCTAGCGTACTTATTATGGCAACTGATAACGTTCGATTTGACGACTCCAGACTTAAGACTGCGACAACTATACCGATACGATATAAGCAAACGCTGACAGTGGTATCGAACCCCGCGTTCGTCCGTCCGCTCTGACCTTGTCGGGTCCGCAGGGAGCGCCCTGAGGCACCAGGCCCGGGTCACGCTGTCTCAGACCCAGGTCGACGATGGCTGTGCGGCACGTCTGTACCTTCCCGGCCGCCTTGACATAGGAGACGTTCAGCTTGGCCGACGACTCGACGCCGTATTCCAGGCGCTCGTTCAGGTGGACGCAGTGGAGGCGGCCGCAAAGCGCGTCACTGGAGGGCGAGACGCGACAAATCGTCACTGAGCGTCACAACACGTCACAGGGCGGTCACTGAACGTCACAGCTCGTCAATGCGCATATACCCGTTGGCGATGGTGCAGAGTTGCTGTTCGAGACCCCAGTCAGCTCGTTATTGACGTCACTACATTGCGCAGCCGGGGGCACGCCGCTTCGTTCACGCTGGACATGACTAGACCAAGACCAGACTGACTTCATAAGACTGGCTTTCAAACGTCACAATACCTGCGGGCCGGCGCGGCGACAGCGTGCCGGAGCCATATCACGTCATTGGAAGCGCCGCGGCACAGTGCTGACACAGCACGCCATTGCTGGAATTAGGCCCGACATCTAAAAGTCCTCAGCGCACTACTGCAGCCCCCCCCCCCCCCACCACCAACCCCTGTCCGCAGGCCCTGTAAACCCTAACCTAAACACCCCTACCTACTTGTGTCTGCAGGCCGTGTGGACCCCGGTGTGCCAGTCGAAGCCGCAGTCGCCCAGGTGGTTGCCCTCGCCGTTCTGGTGGTAGCACTGATCCACGGAGCTGTTCCCCGAGGGACCCCAGAGCAGCCGGCACTGGTCGTCCCGGTCGGAGCACTGGCCGTCATAGCAGTAAGCCTGGAGCCCAGCAGGGGGGGGGGGGGGGGTCAGAGGGGAGGGGTGAGAAATCACAGCCGACATGGCTGCCAATACTCGTTGATCAGTGATACAGTATTGTAACAAATATCTTTCCCATACGCCGAATATCCCTTTGGCATTATCCTAGCCCTATGATCCTAGCCGTGCAGGAAAAATTGCACGTGATCTTTCATGCACTGTTTTCCGGTACGGGTTGATGACCTACAGTTCTGGTGATTTTTCGATAAAAAAATATTTAAAAAAGGTGATTTCAATAATTAAATTGTGAGTTAATGAATGGATAGCAGTTAAACGACGGATGGGAAAAATCTTACTGAACTAGCTCCGGAAGAAAAATGGAAACCTCGGTCTTCAAAAAAATCGTAGGCACGAGGTGTAGCCGAGTGCCAGATATTTTTTTTAAAGGCCTCGGTTTCCATTTTTCTTTCCCAGAGCCGTTCAGTAATATATATATTCCCCTAGGTCACCACCTTTCCCCAATGCTCCCCACCTTTCCCCAGTGCTCCCCACCTTTCCCCAATGTTCCCCACCTTTTCGGAGCCGCAGGAGAGCCCGTTCAGTTTGTGGACGTCGCCGGGACAGCGATTCGATTCGCCCGTGCAAAACTCGGGCAGGTCACACTCGCCACGAGCTGGTCGACAGGGCGAGCCGGCGGCACGCGGCTGACACGTCTGTCGGTGTCAGATGGGAACAGACTGTCAGTGTCAGATAACACACAGACTGTCAGCGGCTGGCACGTCTGTCTTTTTTTTTGAGAAAAATCACTGTGTATTTCACCCCGATCAGAATCTCTAGCGGTACAGACCAAGCGGATTCACTCGCGCATATGATTGAAGCAGGGAGCGCCACTGGCAGCGGTCCCTAGCGGCGACCCACAGAAGCTCAGCCGCCGCGGAGCCAGAGAGCAGTATCCACGGCTAGGGTGAGCACGCCGCTCGTCCTCGTCCCAAACACACAGCAACGTGCACCAGATCGTGGGTGCACCACGGTCGCGACAATGCAAAGATACTGATCTTACAAATACATGAACAATGCAGACACAATAACATCAAGCGCATACAAAAGACTGGCACGTCTGTCAGTGTCAGATAACACACAGACTGTCAGTGTCAGATAACACACAGACTGTCAGCGGCTGGCACGTCTGTCAGTGTCAGATAACACACAGACTGTCAGTGTCAGATAACACACAGACTGTCTGTGTCAGATAGCACACAGACTGTCAGTGTCAGATAACACACAGACTGTCAGTGTCAGATAACACACTTACTGTCAGCGCCTGACACAGTGTCAGTGTCAAATACATAGCACACAGACTGACATTGTCAGATAGCACACAGACTGACAGTATCAGATAGCACACAGACTGTCAGTGTCAGATAACACACAGACTGTCAGCGGCTGACACGTCTGTCAGTGTCAGATAACACAGACTCTCAGCAGCTGACACAGACAGTGTCAGATAACACACAGACTGTCAGTGTCAGATAACACACAGACTGTCAGCAGCTGACACAGTCACTGACAGTGTCAGATAACACACAGACTGTCAGCGGCTGACACACACTGACAGTATCAGATAGGACACAGTCTGTCAGTGTCAGATACAACACAGAACACAGACTGTCAGCAGCTGACATCACAGGAGCTAACACGTCTGTCAACATATTTCTATGCCATATCCCTCGCCCGCACATGCCATTTTCCCATCCCAGAACGCACATGGGGTGGGGGGTGGGGTTGCCACCCCCGCGCCATTTCGTTCCTGTTGGAGATAGAGCTTAGCGGTAAAGACCAAAAAGATTCCTTGGGAAGAGACGAATCCAATGATACCCAGTTTTACCTTCTTGGATCAGTCATTGACCTTCCAGGTCAGGTCAAACTAAAAAATGTTGCTGTTTTGGGTCACCGTTGGATATAAAGTGCGCTGCTTAGCATATACCGATGACGATGCCGTTTTCTGGTGCCAAGCCAGCTAGAACCTCTTTGCCACACTACCCGACCAGGTTTTTGCTGCTGAGGTCATTTCAGGTCAAGTTAGGTCAAGGTCAATTATATGTGTTTGTATGTCTGTGTGTGTCTGTGTGTATACTGATGTGTGCACCGATTGTTTATGTTTCCATATTACATGAAATCATGATCTGAGAAGCTTTTACCAAAAATGCAGTCAAAAAACTTCGCAAAAAGTAAATTCCGCTTGCCTAAAACGCAATTATCTTAGATGACCTAGGTTGACCTTGACCCTGACTTTGACATCTGTACATCGTCGAACATGTTCCATGATAGGTGGGAGGTAGGACTGGCAAGAAAGGCCGAAATCAAGGCGTCAAAAGCTCACAAGGCCCATAGCCAACGCAAGATGTCGAGAATTGGCCATTTGGGTCATGACATGACCTGAAAAACAAGGTCATATCTCCGAAACCAAAAACCACAGAAACTTGAAATTTTCAGTGGACATCAAGGAAGGATAGAGGAGCAGCTATACGAAAAATCAGCCTTCTAGCTCTTCTAAAAATGTTGAGTGCAGAGCAGAAAGACTACCTGGGGGGGGGGGGGGGTGGCAACCACCCCCTCCCCCCCCCATGTGCGGGCGAGGGATATTCATAACTTCATGGTGACAAACCAATGTGACCAGTTTTTTATCGGAAAATGTCCTACAGGTTTGATGCAGTGGCAGAAACAATCTGTCCCTGGCGGACCAAAGCTGCCTGACTTATATCATGGTCATCAGCTACCCGTGACCGACACAGCCCCTATCAGAGAGCCCAGCTGACACCCAGTCTGACCCCTGAAGCAGTCTGTATCAGGGAGGCAGTCTGCCCATGACCAAAACGTGCAACATATACAACAGACATCTCCCATCCATCACAGCTCCTCACCCAGCCGTCAGCCATCCAAGGCCAATCGCATTCCACAGATCACCCTTTCCGAATGACCTCAGTGTTTGACGTCACGCGCCGCGGACATTCCGGGCGGTAAATAACGCCGCCCTGCCGGCTCACCTGCGGGTCGCAGCAGGCGCCGCCAGCACAGGTGCCGTTTCGTCTCAGCCGGCACGTGAGGGGGTCACAGCAGGGGGTGGTGCAGTCCCCCGGCAGGCCGCAGTCACACTCTTCCCCCGGCTCCAGGAAGCCGTTACCGCACACAGAGCCCGAGGACAGACTGGGGGGGGGGGGGGGAGAGCGGGGTCAGAGGTCGTCACCAGTCAGCGAGTGGTGTGACTCCCTCCCATAAACTCACGGCCCGGGTCTTCATACCCTAAACTCACGGATCCGTGGGTAAATTCGCGGCTTTCCGGGCCTCCGTCCCTAAACTCAAGGCTCTGTGGGTCTCCGCCCCCTTCCTCCCAACTCACAGCTCCCAGAGTCCGTCCCCTAAACTCACAGATCTTAACGTCTCTGTCCTCCAAAACTCACGGCTCTGTCGATCTCCGTCCCCCAAACCCATGACTCCGTGGATAAACTCACGGTTCTGCAGGTCTACATCCCCCAAACTCACGGCTCTGTCGATGTCCGTCCCCTAGCTTACGGCTATGTTGGTCTCCGTCCCCCAAACTCACGGTTCTGTTGGAATGTCGTGCAGGCAGTGGCCCAGGCCGTGTTTCAGCGCCCGCTTCAGCTGCTCCCTACTGCAGGAGCTCCACTGCGTGGGGCCAACCGAGCTGCAACACATCAATACTCCGTCAGAGGCAATCTCGGAGACAGACGGACGCACGCGGAGATAGACAGGAAGGCGAACGCTACCATGGTTTGGTCCACTATCGTGGTGGATGGTGTACAGTCCACAGCAGAAGTAATGTGCGGTTTCAGTCATGGGCATGCTCTGCTTCTGAAGCTTAGGAACGATTAGCCAGACTACAATGAAACTTTGAATGTAGCTTACATGTATATTCACCCTTGCAGCTGCAACTTTAGCTATTGACATATTCTTTTCGATCACTCCGCATTAAACAATCGCCAGTCAAAGCCAACCGTTGAGATTGGTAAAACCCTACATTACTTTAGCGGTGGGCTGTACGTTTGACAAAGGGCGAATGGCGAAATAATTATTGAACAGAAAATCAGTGATGAGCATGACATAATGAAACTATAATAAAATGACTGAATGCCTGAAAAAACTTATCCCAGAAAAAAATGAACATAAAACGGTAATTGTCCAACGCTTAAGTCTAGACTAAGTAATAAAACAGTCACCAGACGATTCGCTATTTTTCGACGGTCCAGGTCAAGGCTAAATGGCAGACTCACAGAGCTATGATTTCTAGACTTAAGGCCGAAACAGACTCTTTCCTTATTCAGGAAATCACATGCGGGAGCCTATTCAAATACATTAATTCTGCCCGCATCAATCGCATGCGGGAAGTGCGTGCGATTAATGCAAGCGTGCTTCCATGTATTTGAGGCTCTCACATGCAATTTCCTGACTGCGGAAAGAGTCTGTTTCCGCAATCAGTCAATGAGCCGACTCTCGGTATAGATCTGTTCAGCTGAGCCGACTCTCGGTATAGATCTGTTCAGCTGAGCCGACTCTCGTTATAGATCTGTTCAGCTGAGCCGACTATCTGTTCAGCTGAGCCGACTCTCGGTATAGATCTGTTCAGCTGAGCCGACTCTCGTTATAGATCTGTTCAGCTGAGCCGACTATCTGTTCAGCTGAGCCGACTCTCGGTATAGATTTGTTCAGCTGAGCCGACTCCCCGTCTGGAATTATTACCTGGTGGAGGCGGCGTACATGACGCAGCGATCGTCACGAGCGGGACACTCGCACGCAGGGGTGTCGTGTTGGAGGCCCAAATTGTGGCCCATCTCGTGGGCCACGGTCGACGCCAGCACCGCCAGCCGGGACATCTGGCGGAGAGGACGGGAAACAGCCGTCCATCGGTCAGCTGACCAGCCCGGGATCGGGCAAGTGCCAGTGAAATGCTTCCAAACATTCAGTCCTATCAAAACAAAATGTCACATTCAGATATTTACCTTAGTCAAGGATGATGACTACAAACCTACGCGAAGGAACACAAAACACAGCTACCAGACTCGGCTTTTCTAGCGCGCCCTGCCGCCTCCCGCGGGCCCTGGTAACAGCCCCCGGTGCGGGCCGCCCGGGTCGCCGGCGGTCGGACCGCGGACCGCTGCAGGTCGGTCGGCACGCACCGGGCTCAGCCGACCCGCTGCGGCCGCTGACCGCACGGAGAGCATACAGAACACGCTGCACAGCAGTGCATAACAACAGTGCACAGCGCGTGCATAACAGCGCAGAGCGCGGCTCAAGGTCACAGCCGGTCGCGCGGGGAGCTGGGGCCTGGTAACTGGCGGCGGGCTGAGCACGAAAACAGGCACCGAGCGAAAATTGGATGGGTCCGTACCCGCGACAGGAGAAATACGGCACCGGCTAGCCACGCATGAAAGTAGGAATGCTAGCAAAATCGTTTAGCGTAGCTTTGGAGTAAAACGAGCCATCGTGCTTGTTTCCTTCTCCATAACATATTAACTCTCTGGAACGCAGGTGAACGAATTGCAAATCGAAATCAAATGCGAAGAAAGGCATGACGTACGTTCTTTGTGTAGCCGAAGTCCCAGCTGTTAGTTTGGCACTGTAAATCACGCCCCGTCGCGGAAATTCCACAGGGTCCTAACATCATCCCCATCAATCCCAGCCTGTCATAGCGCCTGTGGCACTATGTCGCACGTCCTCGCTACCCTCCCTATTCCGGCCTCACAGCAGGACACCTGGGCGGTCCAGCGGCCCACCTGTGGGGACGGGTCCCCTCCCCTCCCTCCCTCTCCCTGCCCGGTCGGCGCCCCTCTCCCTCTCCCCTCCTTACCTCCATGGTGCGATCGGTGCTGACTCCGCCGCTCTTGTCGGACGTGCACATGACGTGGTCGCGCGCCTTTCCCACGACGCCGCCCTCGAACTTGGTGGCGCTGCAGCACACGTGGGAGGGCGCCGGTCAGCCACCGGAGGGGGAGGGGGGAGGGGACGGGCTCAGGACCGGTCAGTGGCACACAGCAGCTCTTACGGATGGTAGGACACGGCGGCGCGGAGCCACGGTAGGAGGGTGTCGGGGGGGGGGGGGGGTAAGTGTCCGTTGGCAAGATGAGAAGAGGGCAAACAGGGTTGAAAAGATGGACGAATGTGTTTGAATAGAAAGGAAGCGAGAATCCAACAGTGCAGCGCATGAGGCATGATGCCTATTCATAACACAGAATGCATAACAAAGAATGATTTTTCATGATAACGAACTATCATTTTTCATGATGATTGATGATCTATTTATGAAAGCGAACTATGATTTTCTGTATGTCGGAGTTCGAAGGCAGATTGACGGCAAGGCTCATTACTCGCCCATCTAGTGTGACCGCTCCGTCAGACCCCTCCCCTCCTCACGTGATCAGCTGGGCGTTGTCGTTGGGGATCTCGCTGGCCAGTCGCTCGCGGCGGTAGAACAAAAAGTTCGTGAGCGTGTCGTCAGCGTTGGCAGAGAGGGTGATCTGGTCCCCCTCCGACCACACGTCGACGCCGACCAGCGCCACGAATATGTCCAGCGGCGCGAATATCTGCCGGGGGAGGAGCCCGGTGAGATGTGCCGCTTAGCGGCAGGCAGGAAGTTAAGACGGGTCCATCGTATTCGAGTTTATCTGGGTATTAAGTGGCGGTAGCTTTGGTGTTTGTAGAAAGTCACTCGCTAAACAACCTGCCGTAGTCGCAGTCTCAGACAAAATGTTCATCAGTCACAGTCTCGGTTTTAGTCACACTATCAGGTTCAATGACAAATCAGCCTTCGAAACAAGCACAGCCGCCTTCCGGTCAGTATTCAGTCTCAGGTTCAGTCCCAGCATCGGTATCAGTCTCAGTCTCCGTCCCAATTTCAGTCTCAGTCCCAGTCCCAGTCACCACCAGCAATCTCTGTCTCCGTCCCCGCCCCAGTCTCAGTCACCGCCAGCAGTTTCAGCTTCAGTCTCAGTCCCCGTCTCAGTCTCACACCCAGTCTCAGTCTCCGTCGCCGACGGGAGCCAGCAGTCTCACGGTCTGTCAAACCCGATCGATCCATCGACCGACCACAAAAACAGCCCTGCTGACGGGCCGCCGCCGCCCGTTCTCACACGCAGCGGTCTGAATCACCGTCACCCGCGAACTGCCAACGAACGGCTTACTGTAGCTACCTACGCGGCTACCGAACATCACGATAAGCGCGCGACCCAGCGAGCGGACGGTGTGATCGATTAAGAGCACACAAAGCCGGTCGCTGCCGCGTTAGACAAAGCGTCCTGGTCCGGTGCTTAATTGGTATGTAGCTATTATCCAGCCACTTGAGAATCACGCTCAACTGATAATACGAGGAATGGGTGAAAATCTCCAGAAATAAGCTCCACCGAAGAAACAAATTTACAGCTGACAGAATGAATGAATCTGTTCTGATAGCAACTACACCAAGAAGTTTATTCTTGTACAACCAAGAATAAACCGTAGATCAATTCCATTAACGACTGAATCAGTCATGCGCATCTCTATTTAAAGGCGCCGTAACTGACCGAGTGCACGACGTTGGCGTCTGTCTGACGCGCCGGTACTGACCGAGTGCACGATGTTGGCGAGCTGCCTGGCGTGCCGGTGCACAGCGCTGAGGTCGTAGCCGCTGCGGCGGTAGATCTCGTGATCTACCGCCAGCACCAGCTCCAGGTAGAGGGAGTTGGGCCGGGCGCGCAGCGGCCGGCGGAGGGGTGTCGCCTCGCGCCGTCGCTGAGGGACAGAGGGACGGTCAGAGGGATACAGAGGGGCCGGAGGGACGACCAGAGGGACAACGGATGGACAGACAAGGTCGGAGAGACGGACAGACAGGAGCAGGCGGGAACAGCAGGGCATTTAGAAGCAGAGGAAGACAAACAAGAACGGACGGCGAATTACAGAATCAACGCTGCTGTGCAAAGGCAAAAACCATTATGTCGGGTCAGAGGCCATTACCTTAGGTCAGAGGTCACCCGAACATAATGGGTTTTGCCTTTATACGGCAGAACGGTGGTTGATAATCGTTAAGCAAGGGGGAGGGGGAGATAGAGAATAATGAATGGTCGGCTGGCGTGCTAGCGAATGAATGAGTAGAGATAACACAAACAAAACAAGGCTTGATTGTCAATAAAGCATGTTATAACCGAATGCGATAAAGTAGTACATATATCTCAATGGCATATTGCTGGTGATAATAACCAAGGAAACATTACAAGACGTAAAGGCTTCTACACTAATGCATGTTCAATGCCCATACTCCTCGCTAAATAAAAAATATCAAGCACTATAATTGAAACAAACACCTAACTAACCATATTCTCCTCGACACACCGATTCACTAACAGTTTGTCCCGAGTCCCCCTCGCGTCCTGCCTGCCGACCCCGGCGAGGGACCTACCCGGCGGGCGGCGCGGCGGCGCGGCCTCCTCTGCTGGCCAGCGGTCAGTGCCGGCCCTTCCGTGGCCTCCAGCAGGTACCGTCCTCCGGCCGCCGGGCTGAGCACCAGCGTCCGGCCCGGCTCCGATATAACCGCGCTGCGACAGGGAGTCAGGGGGACTCACGCCGACATACCAGCGGGAGGTGCAAAACGATACGATTACGCGGAGATTCGATACCGGAGTTATGATGCTTGAGTTTCAAAAGTCAGTGTGATGCTACTCGTATATCCGAAAGAGAATACTTGGGTCAAGTAGGTCGGACATAAACAGAGCGAGTGGACCTGGCTATAAAAAATGTGAGTTTCATTAAGTTGCATAACCATTGATCAATGTCCAACAAAACAAGGCCCCAACAAAATTATCATGACTAACTCAACTGGATCAACAGGATTGACATTGAACATTCATTCACGGCAAATCTGCGTGTTGGACGAAAAGTTACCAGCCGTTAACAACAAAGGTATGACATACATAATACATATGACGTTGCTCATGCCAGTGACTCAAATTGCACATTAGCACTGCCTGGCGGCTACTGTCAGTGGACTCGGAACTGTGAGTACTAACCTGATGACGCCGTCACAGGTGGATACGGCTACCGAGGATCCGCCAGTACCGCGCACTGAGCCCGTGTACAGGCACCGGTCCCGGTCCTGACCGGCCGAGAGACACGTTAGAGGTCACCATAGGGCCATCACAGAGCTACAGAGTTCAGCTCGGCACAGGGCATGGTCAGCAAATCAAAGTCACACCTAGTCATCCTAAATAAGACCATATTTACATCATTAGTCAATCAACTGGAAAAATAAAGTATATAATGATGTAACTGAAAGCAATTAGGGGCTTACAATTTGACCTCATACTTACAGGTGGCATGGGATGTTCCTTTACATATGCACCATTTTTCTTGTATCTAAGCATGGTTCCTTCTACGTAGCTGGAGAAAAAACAAGACATACATTGAACACATCATCATCACTCTGTTTATTACTCAAATGTCACATAGCAAGGATAAATCAAGTTATAAAAAGTACATAAAGCAATTATATGAAATGCTAGAATGACAATGAAATCAGATAGTTATGCATACCTATCACAGCCTAGTAGCACAACAGTTTATCAAAGGTCAATACAAAAAAAAAAACATTTTGTGACCTAAAGCCAAAAGGAATGCAAGTTCACATAACAACTAGCATTGGGCAAAGTTTAACTTATCATCTCACAACATACTTATCATTTCCTACTAACCCACCTCCCATAACCCCCTCCCCCAAAAATAAATTGAGTCCAGTAGAGTTACATCATACATGTGACTGATCAGCACACAAACTGCTAGCCATGTACCTCCTAATTGAGATTGAAGGAGAGTCACTCACCTGTTATGCCAAAGGTCTAGTATGTAGTTCTTCCTATGGTATTCAAACTGAACACCAAGCACATATCCCTGAAAAAAAAAACAATTTGATCAAATTATGTTGACTGAGCCAGAAACTAGGTATAATGTACATTGTACCTATCACACCATTATGCAAATGATTAATGAAAGGTAACATGAGCATCAATATCAATTCGAATGAAAATGCTTCTAAGAGAGCATGCTGTAAAAGGGTTATATGTTGTATCATCCAGTAGAAATGGACCTTACCTGCTTGGATGGCTGAAAACTTTGACTGGTGTTGTATATAACCCTCAAATCTATAATGGCTGAATTTTGGATGGTATCGCTGGCGTTGTCTTGACCTGAAAAGAATGAATCCCTTTTCAAGTAGGTAGCTAGCAGTTTTGCCACAGTGCATAAATTGGCATGGCATCACTTAAGTGCTTAACATTCATGACAGATGCATTTCAATGAGACACATTCCACATGTGCTGAGATTTTTCATGGATAAACTTAAACCATTAAAAAAAAAAACAGATTAGCAATGCTTATTTGGTGAACAGCTCACACACTAAGTGATCAAGTGGAAAAAAACAGCAAGTGGAAAAACACTCACCTGGATTATGTGATATCACTAGTTTCCATTGATGCAAGTATAACATTAAGACATATATAAAGTGATTCATGTTTGCTTGAACTCCATGAACAATTAGAATCTGAAAAAGACAGCCCATCAAAAGACCATAATAATCACAATTCACAACATAGACAGCATTTACAAAAATGGATAACCTATGAAAGCATGACTGCAGGATACATCACACTAGAAATGTAAAATTCAGCTACCATCATCCGGGTAACTCCTGGTCAAGCTTCTGTGGCCGCTGCGGCTTCCAATGGTTGAAACTGAAAGGCATGGCTTACCAAACAGGCCAATCAGGTGACACACAGACAGCAGTTGCCGCTGTCCTGATTGGCCTGTTAGCTAAGCCTCACCTTTTTTACTGTGGAAGCAGCGGCGACTGCAGACACTTGAACAGGGCCAAGTATTGCCAATCTATATTAATATAGAGCTTCCCAGTTCCAATGCATAAATGGTTTTAATGCACAAGAAATACCATAACCTCCTGCATTTGAAGTGTAAAAAGATGGTAGGAAACATATGCTTTAGTCAAATATCACCAGCAAAATTCAAAGAATCCTTTTAAATTGCAATGCTTTAAAGAGACTTCATGGGCCTAGGAACCTCATTAAAAGTTGAAGTGTGTGTGTCGGGGGGGGGGGTGGGGAGGCAGCAAAAATTCAATGTCACTTTGTGGGAGCCCTGATACCCCTATGAAGAAGTCCTTTGCAGTTTTGTGCTCATCTAACCTTGCTGAACCATTCCCTGCTCTTAGTTTTGTATTTAATTCAAAGATACAGATTTTACTTGAAAAAATACTGAAAAGTGTGACCGGAGTCATAGCCCCGCCCCCTGCTGTTACTACGCCTATGGATTAGGTACCTAAGTCTGAGTCGTGAGAGTAAACGATTAAGTAGGTATGTAGTCAAACTAGGCATTGTATGCTAGTTCGTTCAAAATAGTAAGAAAAACTATTTAAACACTACCACCGTTCCTCAACTGCGGGAGAACGGCACAGCGGGGCAGCTCCACTGTTTACGATAGTTCACTTCTGTCACTACTGCGTCAATTGAAGCGCAAGAAATTTTAGAGTGATGACCGCTAAATTATAAAATCGCTTGTTTCTTGTAAACAGAATATCGTTCCAGAATAAGATAAGTTATTAGATGAGTTGCCTCTATCTAATAAGAATTGAACATTAGATTGAGGAAACAAAGCGATGGCTATCTAACCGGGATTATTTTTCTTCATTGCAGAGCAAAACTATTCATCAATCACATAAGTGATTTCATTGTCTTCGCTAATGACCTGCTTCACCCCCAAATTTGAGTAGCGAACAAAAGGTAGGTCATCAATGCGTGGCCCAAAACACCTGATCCACGACAAATGTATCTAGGTATGTATGTATTTACTATTTAGGGCCTTGTATGTATGTATGTAGGTAGGCATTAGAATCCATTGCACCGCCTGCGCGTTTTTCGGTTATACTGTGCCGCCGTACATAACGGTGCTGCGGCACAGCATGCGGCAGGCGTTTGCTTTTACTGCCATCTAGCGAGCTGTTTATGAATCAAACGCTTCCATGTGAACCGGTGCGAACTTAGGAAATGAGATATACCAGGTGCCTATTTTGTAAGCTGTCTTTCATTGCCTGCCCTTGTTTAGTACCTACTTCGCTTGCGTAGTCTGACCTGATAGTGCTGATGATACATGATCAAACTGAACAGGGGCGGTCGCATGGACTTGGCGTTTGGTGGTGGTGGTGGTGGTGGTGTGGGGGGGGGAGGCACTTGGCAAAGGGGCCTATGCGCTGACCCGGGGGGGGGGGCGGTGCTAAACCCGCGAGTTGCTGAGGGGGTCAGTGTGTTAAACGACCCAACTTTTTTAATTTTTCGGCCGGCTATAACGTAAAAATGGCGCGCCGCAGGCGCGCTATGTTTTGGGTAGGGTACCTGTCGGGAATAGATTTAAGTTTATTGTGACAAAATATCAAACAATCGGTCGGAAATTTGTTTTGAGTTATGGAAGTTTTAGTGACGTCATGATTTCTGAGTTTTCGACCAAAAACGGCATATGTTCAAAAAACCATATAAAATCACAAAATAGACATAGAGACGTACTGTAAAAGCCATTAGGCTGTCAATGCCAAGAACAATCAAAGGGCTATCTCCGATTTTCGATTGTCGTTCTTAAGTAGCCAAAATCTTGGACTCAATCTTGGCTATTTCTCGGGACTCCTTCACTACCATGAAGCATGCATTTCTTATATTGATCTTTTTCAACCAAATGCGTAGGGGAAAGTGGGGTAAGACAGGCACCTTAACTTTGGAACCATTTTTCGGCCGGTTAGAAGCATCATAGAAACGTGAAACTGAGTGAAAACCTTTTTTTAGACATTTACTTCCATTTGCCAGAATATGAGACTTAGAGATGATTCCACAAATAAACTGCAGCTATTTTTGCAAAACCTTGCAAAACCCGTCTGTCTTAAACTCCACCCCATGGCGTAAGACGGTCACATGGGTAGGGCAAGACAGTTGGGGGCCTATAGATGCCAGTTTTGACCCCCTCAGAGGCTAGTGTTGGCCTCAGATGTCGGGGTGAGGCCCTTAACCCGCGCCCCATTGGGGCCTGCGTATAACGCGCTCTACTGGGGGGGGGGGGGCTCTTCATAGCCCCCCTCCTATCTCCGAGACTACTGGGCCGATCGTCAAAATTGAAACAGCGTCTGATAGCCCCGGAAAAACTGTTGAGCGGAACCTGATTTCATTGACCTCGAGGTCACCGATGATGTCACAGATCAGGTCAAATTATTAGCATTTTCGCTTGTTCACATTTTTGGGCTCTGGCCGCCGTCTTACAAGTCAGATCAGGCTCATTTTTGGTTTATACACTCGTGAACAGATGGATGCTTGAGATACCCTGAGGGTACCAAACTTGAACTTTGAAGGTTAGAGTCAGGTCATCATAGGTCACGGAAATATTTTATCATGCGTCGGTCACGTGACACAGGTTTTAGGTCCATTTAGGCCATAGATGTCTAATTTGATGTCGTTTGTGTCATTCGAGATAATTTCGAGGTGAATTTAGCTTAGGTCAGGTCACTTTCAGGTCAAAAAGGTCAAATTTTGAAGTAAATCTTTTTCAACAAAAAAGGTGTCTACAGGATGCAGTTTGAGCTCAGGAACACGATGTTGCCATTTATATTGGTTTACGATGTCAAATACGTACTGAAAAAAAAAAATTAAAAAATTTATAATTGTGAACTTTTTGCAATAATGCGAATAACTTGGCAATTTTTGAGTATATTTAGCTAAAACTTGCTAGAGTAAGTCATAAGCATGTGTTCTATCACAAATACCTATTGCTTTTTTTCGAAAAGTCATTATTTTGAAAAAAATATAAATTTTGAATTTTATTAACTGAAATTTTCAAAATTTCCAACATTTTGAAGATACAAGATTACAGTTTGATAGCGCAGTCTATTCTGAGTCCTCTAATGCAAATAAATTGGATCTAGCTTAAAAACTGAGCTCTTGGCAGGGATTGCCGTGGTTCAATGTTTTGCGTCGAAATCGGCCGAACATGACGTCACCCTGACGTCATTTCCGGCCGACCTATGGTAGCTACGAAATTCATATTTTGACACAAGTTGTCAAATTGACGCAGCCGAAGGTACTGAAAGTTTGGCGTGGATACGTCAAGCGGTTTGGAAGTTATTGCAGAAAAACGGGAGGGGGCTATGAATAGCCCCCCCCCCAGTGGGGCGCGGGTTAAAGACCGGTATGGGTCCTCAGAAGCCGGCATCGATCCTTCAGAAGCCAGTACGGAGCCCTCAGACGCACATAAGGGTCGGTTTTTGGTCCCAGAGATAGATAGATAGATATTTATTCACAAAAGGTCCACTCAAAAGTGTGGCTTTTCACTTCCGCACGTCACAAAATAAGACATGAGTAAACATTCACACGCAGCTACTTAAACAGGGTTAAAAGGTTAAAATGAACTAAAAGAAGATAAAGAGCACCAGTTACATAGGAACATCTAAAATTATTCAGTTACCGGACGCCGACCGCTCGGACCTCAGGTGTCTTTTCACGGCTGCCCTGTTCACAGTGCCCTGCGTTCTGCGCACGCTGTTATAGCCCTGCACGGCGCTATAGCACAGCCGATTCCGCCCCGCCTCCGTATGTATGCTCGGCAGTGACAAGCTGTCGGCATCTCGAGTGTCGTGCTGATGCAGCCGGCTCGCTGGGGGACCAATGGTTTCAGCAAGCACCGCTGGCACACGGTGTGTCACAAGTCGATGTACGGACATAATCCTGTGGTACTGAATAAGCTGCTCAGCAGTGAGCCATCTGACATGACAAATGACGTCAGCAACGCGCTGATGTTTGCGTCGCCCGCTCAGCACTCGCGCGGCAAAGTTTACCAGCTTTTGTAGCCGACGCTTCTCCGTCTGACCACATACGCCGAACACCGACAGACAGTACCGCATCGCTGATATCACCAACGCGTCGATCAGATACTTGATCGTGCCGCGAGGCAGGACATGTTTTGCATTGTTTAAGGCGAGCAGCATTCCTGTGCATTTGTGAACGATCAGGCTGACGTGAGACTGAAAAGACAAGTTTCGATCAAAAATGACGCCTAGATTTCGCACCTCTTTGGTAGCTCGAATGGTCGATGCATTAAATTTCACAGACACATCAGGAGTAAGAGCAAGTAATTGTCTACTCCCAAATACCATCAGCTCAGTTTTTGCAGCGTTCACTTTCATTCCATGGTGACAGAACCAGTCAAACAAACACTGCAGAGCAGTTTCGATCCGACTGACCAGGGCAGGTAGGTCGCGTCTCTTTCCACTAGTCCATATCTGTGTATCATCAGCAAACTGAACTATGCGCACTGAGTCTGGAACGTGCAGGCACAGGTCATTGGCAAATATGCACCAGAGAACGCAACTCATCGATCCGCCCTGGTAAACGCCAACCGAATTCTCCCTGATAGACGATCGAGATACGGATCCAAGAGCACTATTTGTAAGTTGTACTTGTTGGGTATGTCCTTCCAGATAATGTTTGATCCAAAAAGTGTCTATTCCGTACAGAGACAGCTTTTCTAATAGCTTATCGTGCGGTACCATATCGAAACACTTTGACAGGTCTACCATAGCCCACAGAGTGATTTCACTTCTGTCCATC